GGTCGTAAAGCCTTCTACAACCAAAAGGCCTCTCAAGAGGAGCTCAACATCGGACACAAAGTGTAGTACTACAGCTTTGCCCAACCAAGGCAGAACGCTTCCCATTGCCTGTCAAAGAAATTCCTACCTCACTGGACAGGACCCCACAAGATTATGGACAAGCTCTCTCCTGTGCAGGGTGCAGCGGGGTCCATCGAAACCAGATAAAGAGGCACCAGGGCTCCAACCGACAGGAAAAGGGGGAAGATCAAACCAACTGACACAGACCGACAATCCCATACTCTACACCACACTAACATCATTTCTGTCGTTCTAGGAAAACATATAGCTAACTTTCTTAAACACAACACCTACACACTCTCCTCCACCGCACTGCTAGGACCAACCTCTAGTAGAGAGGAGTTGTTCTACACATGTGACACTTACCCTTGCTGTCTAACCTCATTCAGTGTCCTTGTGTCTCATTGTTTTTCTTTTCCTTTTTCCTCTCTCTCCATGTTCTCCTTTCCCCCCTAGTCCCCTCACCAGAGAACTCCCTTAACTCATCTTTAAATCCAGGTCACTTAATCGAAATTGTTGTAAATCGTTGTGAATAGCCACCGTCAACAAATTGAGGCAACACAACGAGTATCAGCGAGTATCAGGCCGAACTCGAAATCTCACCCTTCTTCAAACAGCATTCCTTCGTCCTCGATCCAGAATTGGAAAAAAGGAGCAAGGAACGCAACTTATTGATCTGACTACTGTTGACACAGCCTTAGAAGCTATTGCTCGCCTTCCGCCTGCTGGCGCGCCAATCATTCGGTCTTGTTCTGCCGCTGACACAGCGCTTTGCATTTCTACTATTGTAGGATATGTTGTGACTCTGACACTTGCCTTCCTCCTCCACAAGCGAGTGAACGCTGTTCAAGCCGTCCAAGAGTCTTTCAACAAGTGCACGTCCGGCCTTCCGCGCATGTTCCGACGTGATAAAACTGACCAAGAACCTGAACCTGAGAACTCAACAAACCTGATTGAGATTACGTCTATACCGCCTCGTCGAACCTCTGACAACTAGATCAATCAAAACGACCCAATTCTAGATAATCCTAAACAATGCACCCATAAGTCGTCTCAAGTGTTTCTAAACTTAATTATCCCAAATTACCTAAGCCTTGCACCAGGATTCAGTTAGTGATGGAGATGTTGTTTGTGTCTTGTGTGTGCCTGTTCTCTCTCTGCCTCTTGTTCCACTGCCCACCGATGCTCGCACCGGGAACATCACCGAGCCAAAGGGGGATGTGTAGGGCCTCTGTGAACAGACACAAATGAACGATTGAATCTCCACATTCCACAGGAAAAACTAAAGATTCTCCTCCCCAGCCATCTGCGGTCGTAAAATTAATGAATGATCAACATGGTGCCCAATTGTCTGGACCGGCTTCCTGTCAAGGCCTGGTCCTTATCCCTCAGGGGATCGAAACTTCTAAAAACCTAACTCAATCAACAGGAGAAAAGGACTCCCTCTGTTTGAGACCATTCAAGGACCAGATGTGCAGTGAAACTTTGACCAGCTTCAGCATAAATCGATAATCCAATAAACAAGAAAGACGGATTTACAGCTCCACGTCTGAGCGGGAAGATCAGCAGACCTACACCGCGTGACTTTAGTGACCTCAGAAAATTCTTCCTTTCCTCTCTATTCCAGAAAACAGACGAAAAAACAGCGCTCTTTTCGTTGCAACAAAGAAACCCAGAAGTTGTATGGATGATGTTCAACAGACAATCATTTAAAAACTCCTAAGTAGTGAAAATGTATCCACAAATAATGTGTTTTATGTGTTTTATATGCTTGATGTGCTAATTGTAACCTATGGAGTATAATCAATGTTTTATAACCGCTTTCAGCAGATAAAGCTATTAATATGTGTGTAAATATGTGAAGTTTGGTGTTAAAGGAATGGTCGCAATAATTGCGGAACATTGAAATGAATGAAATGGTGATATTCGGTTTCATACGCATGTCACAACACTTTATAGAAGTATCAACAAAATCTTCTAGGACATTTTCTCCATGAATTGAACAGCATGATAATTTATGCACGAAAAGGATAGGGCTAAAGGCTAAGCCCTGCAGCCAATATCTGATTGGAACAATCGTTTTTGGGATGGACCAAATCGGCTGGCTTTAAACCAAATGTCACAAACTGATTCAATGTTCTTTCGCCTTGGTGTTGATCGCGCTCCTAATAACGCTCACCATCACGCGATCGGGCCATCCAGAACCCAAACACTCCGTTGAAACTTCGTGACTGCCAAAATCTTCGAAGTCTAAAGCCAAGCAAAGAAACGCTCCGAAGAACTTCAAGCATCACTTTCCATACCTAAGGCAACCGACTTCCAAAGCTCCTACATCACAAGGCAAACCTCCATTCACCACGAGGGCTCGCCCAAAAAAACGTCATCCAAACGACAATGGAAACGATCAGAGGCGCCCAGGATTCCCTGGGACAAGCCACCAAGGAAGCCCCGCTCAGCTTTCACCAAAACGCAAGTAACAAACAAAGCTTCATCTCTTGTTGAACTGGTGCGAATTGATCTTAAGCAGTAAAGATAAGACAAATCTCTGCTCTGTGATTCTCTCAGGGTGCGATCTAAGAACTAGTAACAAATGCTAGACTTTTGGGACTTCATGCAAACTCCGTAAACTCTCATCTTCATTGAATGTGTGTGTGTGTGTGTAGAGAGAGAGAGAGAGAGAAAAAACAGTTATTTTAAACTGCATTAACATTTCACATTTTTACTGTATATTTGATCAAATAAATCCAAACTTTTGAAGGTAGTGTAATGATATGAAGCAATGCAGCTTAAGATATACTGATGTTAACAGCTCGCTGGACGAACAGTTGATAAAGTGTAAACTATCAAATTTGGAATCAGTTCGATCAGCTTGATTTTGAATCTTCAGATTCTAATTCCTTCCGAAAAACTGAGCTAAGAAAAAAAAAATTCCTTACATCTGCGCAGACCGAACTGCATATGAAATCAAAGTACCGGGAGAGCAATTGGAGAGCAGACAACTCTTTAAGCTTCTGATTTGCTCTCACGGTACTTTGATGTCATGCACCGATCGGATTGACCGGCACCGATTCATCTTGAACAAGCCTTGTGACACATAGAACAAAGGAAGCAATGAGAACATGACACATAGAACAAAAGGCCTACATGGCAGGATCACATGACAGGGGCAGAGAAACACATGACAAGGCAGAAACCAAGTAAAGAAAATACAAAATAAAAGAAAACCTACATAAATAAAACTAAAAAAAAAACAAAAACAGTCTGACAGTATTATTATTATTATTATTATTGTTGTTGCTGTTGTTGTCCAGCAAAAAAAGCATTAAATTGTTTAAACGTGAAAAGTAAATCGAAACTTAAAGTACTGTGCATGTGCAACTAAAAAAGGACTGTGCATGTGCAATAACGCAGAAGTAGAGTAATGACGCATGACGTGCAACGAGCTGTTGTTTTTGTAGAATGAAGTGTCATAAATTAATGTTATGTTGTTGTTGTTGTTTTTTATTTTCCTTACACTCATCGCCTGTGAATTAGAGCAGAACAACATCCCATCAGTTCTCACTTTATATTCATCCACTCATCCACAGTCAGCTTGTTTTAGCCACCGGAATGGGTGATTTTACTGCTTGATAAATAAAAGCAGCAAAGCACAAATCATCACATGCTTGTTGTCTCCTAATTAGGACCCAAAATAGATAAATATTAAGTCTGCTCTTTAAAACAAAGAAAAGAAACAACGGCAGGAGAACAATATGTCCAAACTGGAAAATCTGTATATTTGTGCAGTGTGCGAATGTCAAAAGAGCAAATCCGATATTGAAGCTTGTGACATATAAACGCACACATCAACCTGATCACTTTATTTAGCGTTCATGTTTGATCAAATAAATCCAAACTTTTGAAGGTAGTGTAATGATATGAAGCAATGCAGCTCATAAGTTTTAGGACAGAGCTTTTATCTCATACAGTTTTGCAAATTTGCAAATAAAATTTTTTAAAACAAAAAATACTAAAATGTTTTTAACTATTGATTTTATTGTGATTGTGTTGGTGTCTATGGTAATTCAGCAGTGAACATGAATGTATGTAAGTTGCTGGGCTCATGTTTGTCAATGTGTGTGAATACACAGCACAAATTCATTCAGTTAACCAAATCATATTTGTCCTCCTAAATCTGTCACCTGAGGTGATTTGTACCAAGCTAAAAACTGTACTAAGTTTTCTTATTGGAATAAAACTTATTAAACTTATAAAACTTAAAAATTATATATGTTTTCTCTTGTAGAGTCTAAATAATGATCTGAATGAAACCTTAAAAACGTTTTTGACACCAAAAGGGCCATGACTAACAGAATAGCATGGCTTGAGTGCTTTATGAGTGTATGTACAGCTCAGATGTTTCCTGTGGAAGTGCTCTCAAATTACAGTGCTTCCTAGGAGGCTAAAGTGCTCTTAAAAGAGGGCTACAAAGCCTATCTCAGGGGGAAGTGCTACCATTTAGCTTGATGGTTGCTCTGGGAGGTATAACATCTGTTGCCCACATGTAGGTTGTGATAGCAACTGTGGATGGCTTTGTACCTATGCTCCAGGAGAGGGCAAAACAGGGCTCTCTGCTGGTGTATGATACTGCACTTGTATTGAGCTCTATATGACTCCAAATTAGCATTAGAATTCTAAGAAGCATGCACCTCCACAGTTCTTGCCTAAGTCTATTGATCGGATCTGAGGCTGTGACCCATGATGTAATGGTTTCAGTTGCTTCAGCAAAGCCTAGTGAAAAGGTTTTGGTGAATCAACTTTAGGCCACATTCACAAGAACACTGCCAGACTGTATGGATCAATACTGGAGCTTCACAGATTATGTCCATTGATTTTAGCATGGGGACTGCTGCTTTGTTCGGAGCATGTTTAAGATTGTACATTTTGGAATGTGTTTGCAGGAGCTGAGGGTGCAGTGTTCAGCAACTCAGTGGAGACCCCGCACGTGAGAGCTGAGCCCTTCAAAGAGTTACGGTAAGACAGTTTGACAGTATATGATGTCATTGTTGAATTCTGGATTCTAATTAGATGTTCCAAGGTATTTTAATTTTCTTGAACTACATGACTACATTTGTTTATACCATATTGCAGGTCAATATTGTTTTTCTTTTATGAATTGGGTAACACTTTATAACAACTTTCATTTATAAATCATTAACAAACATTATATAACGCTTCATTATATTAACAGATCATTAGTTAATATATATATTCACATAGCTAGAAATATGAGATAAATTTATTGTTAATGTTTACTAATGAACTTACTAAACATTACCTAATGATTAACATATGGTTATTTAATGTAAACTGAAATGCTTACAAATGTCAGTAAACTTTCAGTTCATATGATCTTCATTTGTTGGTCTTTGTTTGTTGTGTAGACCTCTATTAACACATCTTACCAAATAATCTATTAATTATTTGTTCATGTTAAATTTGAAACTATTAATCATTTGTAAATGTTTATAAACCATTACTAATAATTTAGTATCTTTATGGGCATTGGACTTTTAGCTAATGAACAAGGTTTGTGTAAAGGGTGGCTGGTTAAGTTTAGCTAAATGCTTGCCAAAGGCATTACCAATTGTAATTTTGTTGCAAAAAATGTTTTTATTGCACCAATACTCACATTAGTATACTACTCTTATCAACAGGATATTCCTTGAATCATAAATAAACAGGAGAGGAGAAACCAATCATTTTTAAAAAGAAAATACTTGTTAATTTATCAAAACAATATAATATAAACAGATTGAACCATGTTCTCTTATAGTAATCAAATTGACCCCTGTACACTGTTGACCCTTTAACCAACCCTTAAACCTACCTATACTACCAAACCTGTCCCTAACCTTACCCGTATCACACCTCAATAGCAGCAAAAGTGTTGTGCATTAACATAAGCTTTTAATCATTTTATGGCATCTGTTAAGATTGTTTGTAGATTTTCAGTAAGTGCTTGATCATATGGAATTGAAAGTTTAATGACATTTGTAAGCATTTTAATTTACATGAAATAATATCTCACGTTTCTAACGCTTTGAATATATATTAACTATGATCCATTAATTATATAATGTGTGTTAATTATTTATTAATGAAAGTGGTAACACTTTCTATGATGCTCATGTTCATAATATATTATAAGAGTATTATTAAAGCATTATAATGAATGAATAATGTATTATAAAAATAAAACAAAATCACAAAGTCTGCTGCCTCAGTTTTTATGACGGCAATTTGCATATACTCCAGAATGTTATGAAGAGTGATCAGATGAATTGCAATTAATTGCAAAGTCCCTCTTCGTCGTGAAAATTAACTTAATACAAAAAACATTTCCACTGTATTACAGCCTTGCCACAAAAAGACCAGCTGACATCATGTCAGTGATTCTCTCATTAACACAGGTGGGAGTGTTGCTGAGGACAATGCTAGAGATCACTCTGTCATGCTGATTGAGTTAGAATAACAGACTGGAAGCTTTAATAGGAGAGTGGTGCTTGAATTCATTGTTCTTCCTCTGTTAACTATGGTTACCTGCAAGGAAACGTGCAGTTATCATTGCTTTGCACAAAAAGGGATTCACAGGCAAGGATAATGCTGCTAGTAAGATTGCACCTAAATCAATAATTTATTGGATCATCAAGAACTTCAAGGAGAGAGGTTCTATTGCTGTGAAAAACGCTTCAGAGCACCCAATAAATTCCAGCAAGCGCCAGGACCGTCTCCTAAAGTTGATTCAAGCTGCGGGATCTGGGCACCACCAGTGCAGATCTTGCTCAGGAATGGCAGCAGGCAGGTGTGAGTGCCGGATCATCAAGAACTTCAAATGGAGAGGTTCAAGTGCTGTGAAGAAGGCTTCAGGGCACCCAAGAAAGTCCAGCAAGTGCCAGGACCATCTCCTAAAGTTGATTCCGCTGGGGCACCACCAGTGCAGAGCTTGCTCAGGAATGGCAACAGACAGGTGTGAGTACATCTGCACGCACAGTGAGGCCAAGACTTTTGGAGGATGGCCTGGTGTCAAGAAGGGCAGCAAAGAATCCACTTCTCTCCAAGAAAAACATCAGGGACAGACTGATATTCTCCAAAAGGTACAGGGATTGGACTGCTGAGGACTGGGGTAAAGTCATTTTCTCTAATGAATCCCCTTTCTGATTGTTTGGGGCATCCAGAATAAAGCTTGTCCGGATAGGAAAAGGTGAGCACTTCCATCAGCCCTGTGTCATGCCAAAAGTAAAGCATGCTGAGACCATTCATGTGTGGGGTTGCTTCTCAGCCAAGGGAGTGGGCTCACTCACAATTTTGCCTAAGAACACAGCCATGAATAAAGAATGGTACAAAAACATCCTCCGAGAGCAACTTCTCCCAACCATCCAAGAAAAGTTTGGTGATGAACAATGCCTTTTCCAGCATGCTGGAGTGCCTTGCCATAAGGCAAAAGTGATAACTAAGTGGCTCAGGAAACAAATCATCAACATTTTGGGTCCATGGCCAGGAAACACCCCAGACCTTAATCCCATTGAGAACTTGTGGTCAATCCTCAAGAGGTGGGTGGACAAACAAAAACCCACAAATTCTGACAAACTCCAAGCATTGATTATGCAAGAATGGGCTGCCATCAGTCAGGATGTGGCCCAGAAGTTGATTGGCAGCATGCCAGGGCGAATTGCAGAGGTCTTGAAAAAGAAGGGTCAACACTGCAAATACTGAGTCTTTGCATAAACATATTGTAATTGTCAATAAAAGCCTTTGACACTTATGAGATTCTTGTAATTATACTTCAGTATACCATAGTAACTTCTGACAAAAATATTTAAAAACACTGTAGCAGCACTCTTTGTGAAAATTAATATTTGTGTCATTCTCAAAACTTTTGGCAAATGGCTGTACACAATGAACACAATACATCCGCTTAATTTACAATGGATTATATTTCCCATAGTTATAATGTATTAAAAGTCTCATATCTTGCCATTGTTAACTCGTTACTTTACTTAAAGCAGACAAATACCACTTATAAATAATAACAACAACAATGACAACAATAATAATAAAAATATTTTTTTTCTTAAACAGCCATAAAATCAGATATCTGATCAGATGAGTGTGTAATTGTCAGACTCTGTTCCATGTTTTGTGTGTGTCCTGCTCCCCATGTGCCTTCCCATGCCCTTATTTGGTTAGTTTCCTGTTCCTGTCCTGATTAGTTTATTTCATTTGTCCCAGGTGTTTCCCTTGATGTTTCATTGCTCCCAGGTGTGTCTCGTCATCCCCCTCCTCCTGTCTGTATAAATAGTGTTCCCTGTGTGTGCTCCAGTGTCCGGTATTGTTCATGTCTATGTCTACATGTATTGCGTGAGTGTTCCGTGTTCCTTTGTGTGAATTAAACCCAGTTGGATTAAAAATAAATAAAATACTGGAAAATATAATGCAATATAATAAATAATATAATAATAATAATAATTTAATTATATACTGTATGTATATATATATATATATATATATATATATATATATAATGTATTATGCATTCATTATAATGCCTTAAGAATACCTAAATTAATTAAATATTCAGATCACACACATTGTGTGCAGTTTCCAGCCTGACCAAGCTGGGAGAACAGCTAAGACCAACAAACAAGCTTAGGATTTTTTTTTTTCTCTCAGCAGAGCCGTGCCTGATTCATGTTTTGTAGGACTCATAAAAGCATGAAATGGATATATCGTTTTGGAAAGTGGGCATTTGATTGAAGTTAGCAAAATAGCTGATATTGCTTACAGTGCCTTTACATTTCTCAAACGGCAAAGACTTGTGTGACACTTTCGTTCTCCCCAGGTGATGTGATTTAAATTTATTAGTCATGAATCTTGGGCATCACTTAGCAAAATAGCTGATATTGCTTACAGTGCCTTTACATTTCTCAAACGGCAAAGACTTGTGTGACACTTTCGTTCTCCCCAGGTTAAATTTATTAAATTTATTAGTCATGAATCTTGGGCATCACCAATGTTTGGAGAGTTTTTTTTTTATGTTTTTTTTTTTTTTGTTATGTTCTGACTGATGCTTGACTGTTGATATTTTTTCAGATATAAAATTTTCATGTTCTAGCCTCTTTCATGACAAACCGATGGCCAAATATATATGTTGGCCCATTGTTTTATTGTTTTGCATGACGTGCTCTCCATCCATGCTTAAGCAAAATTCACTGCCTTTTTCATTAGACTGAAAGGCTTGACAGGTAGCAATTTGGAATTCTGTAACTTTCGTTTTTTTTGTCCTTGTAATACTACATTGTCCATACAGATTTAACATCGTATTATTCAGTTCCTTGCCCAAATGGAACAGTGAGAAATAATGACACTTTTGAGACACTGGACTATAGCAGGTACAGACCGACTGAACCACCGTGAAAAATTTGCAGTTCATAAAACTAGGGAAGGCAGTGAGAATAAATGGAGAAAGAGGCATTCAGTGAAACATAGGTCATAAAAACACATTTTATAGTGTGCTTGTAATATAACAAGAATTATTTTGCGGTATCTCTTAACTATTCTGTACAATAGCCATGTCCGTTCTACTTTCGCAGCTTAAGGAGCTTGTAGTAATTTTTGAAAGCTATGTGGAAGCGTCCTCGCTGTTCGTGACCCGCTGGTCATCACTCCAATCCGAGTTGAAAAGAGCCCAGAACTGTCTCATTGAGACCCATTGCATCCTGTATTTATAGGAGTAATTGGGTGGATGCTGTGCACTGTGCACAGGGTTGCAGTCAATCTTGGGTCCTTTCATTCAAAAAACATAATGCGAATAATCATCTTTGCCAATAGTGGGCTGGAAACTTGTAATGGAAAGCTTGAAATACTCCTTAGTGAAGTAAAGCAAAATGTCTGGAAATTAGTTACACTGCTGAAAACTGATGGAGGCACCTGATTTCACCTGTCTGCATTGTTGTTTTGTGATTTGTACAAGGTGTGCTGGTTCATGCAGGACTGACAAATGCTTGTCAAAAGCTTGGACATGATGGACATGTACTGTAAAAAAAAGTGTCATGGCTAGAAGCAATGTTGTCACTAGCCATGAGCAGGTTAAATGTAAATAGCCTGCTAAACGTGACATGCTAACATGTCAAAATACTAAATCTAAATTTTAAAATTCAACTAACCATTTTTTTTTTATCTTTATAAAGCCTATTTTATGTGTCCCCATTCATTTTTTTTTTTATTAAATGCTATTAGAATAATAAGACATTATAGGGCTGTTACCAAACCAAATAAAGTAAGACAAAATCCATTTTTGCACTGCAGAAGCTGCATCTCAAGTGGCATTTAGATGTATTTACATAGACTGTTTACAACTGCGTAAATAATGTTATAAGGCTTATATAAAATTATATTTCTACTTGCCAAATATTTTACTAGTAGGTGTAGCAGAGTAATAGAAAACCAACAGACCCAACAGTCATGACAGTTTGTCAGACAACCCCCAAACACTGAATTCAAGCCACAGTACACTGTGAAGTCAGTTAAGCATGGTGGCGCAAGCATCGTGAAATGGGGATGTTTTACATACTATGGTGTTGGGCCTATTTATCGCATACCAGGGATCATGGATCAGTTTAAGTACATCAAAATACTTAAAGAGCTCATGTTGCCTTATGCCGAAGAGGAAATACCCTTGAAATGGGTGTTTCAACAAGACAATGACCCCAAACACACCAGTAAGCGAGCGGCATCTTGGTTCCAGACCAACAAGATTAACGTTATGGAGTGGCCAGCCCAATCCCCGGAACTTAATCCAATAGAAATCTTGTGGGGTGACCTCAAAAATGCTGTTTCTGAGGCAAAACCAAGAAATGCAGAGGAATTGTGGTATGTAGTGCAATTGTCCTGGGCTGGAATACCTGTTCACAGGTGCCAGTAGTTGGTTGACTCCATGCAACACAGATGTGAAGCAGTTCTCAGAAACCGTGGTTATACAACTAAATATTAGTTCAGTGATTCAAAAGAAAGCTAAATCTTCAAGCATTTTTCAGTTTATACAATAAATGTTTGACTTCGTAAAAAAAATGCAGACTGCTATTTTTTAACAGCCTTATATTCCTTTTTCTTCACTTTCTGTTAAGTAATAGCATATTTTATACATTTTTCTTCATGTTTTGATTTAGAATAGAATGTGCAGTGTTCCCAATGCATTTGCATGTATTGAAATAAAAGTTATTATAAGGATTTTGAGCTTTACTCGCTTTTTTAAACACACTGCTATTATTTTGAACAGAACTGTGCTTTGTCAGTTTCGTGCACTAGCTTGGCCCTTTGTTGTGTTAAACAGTAAAGTGTGTTCAAGCACGAGAAAAAAATACTTGAACAGTGTAAATAAATACTCTCTGAGAGTAGCAGTCAGTCAGCGGAAATTGAAAGCAGCGTGTAAGTGTATTTATTTCTGGTCTCATCGGTTTTTAACGCAGTTGTCAT